CCTCCAGCCCGGCAGCATCGAGCAGGCGGTGAGTGAGATCCGCGCCGTGGTGATGCCCGGGGAGGACGGGGAGGTGCGGAGCGTCTGGCTGCTGGCTGAGTTGGGGTTGGCCCAATGGAGAGCAGCTCTGACGTGGCCGGGGGTGGGCTGTGTCCTATCCTTATTTCCGTGTAACGTTAACTCGTGATTTGTCTCCTTACAAAAGCCAGATCCGTACAGAATTCACCCTAACTGTGTGTTTGCATAAAAATATAGTAAATATTGGGGTTGGCCCAATGGAGAGCAGCTCTGACGTGGCCGGGGGTGGGCTGTGTCCTATCCTTATTTCCGTGTAACGTTAACTCGTGATTTGTCTCCTTACAAAAGCCAGATCCGTACAGAATTCACCCTAAAACCCACTAACGTGGCTCTTAATTAACTCCTCCGTCACCGAGTTACAGACCATTAGCCCTGTAATTCCTCAACGTGCAAATTGTCAGCTCCCATCACACCACGTGTCCAACCAAGGGTCAGGAGGCGATTTTCCTCCTCCTTCAGAGCAAGGTTTGGCCAGATCCACTCCCTGGGGCCAGCAGAAGGTGGGGGGGGCAAGTGAAATGGGCAGAAAAAGGTTCATGGTGGGGGAAAAACTGCAGCCCATTGCCCTGTCCCACTCTCAGCACTTACCTTCAAGGGTGAGGGTGGCTTTGGTCTCATCAGCCTTCCTGTTGGAACAACACACAACTTTAAATTTTCGTAAGGAAAGGCAATTAAATCAGTTACACCAAAAAAATATGCTGTAGCAGATCTCAAAGGTGCTACCTTAAAAGCTCAGCTCCTTACCCTGAATGAAAATACACCTGCTCTCAGGCTGCAGGTGTCCAGCTGGTCTGGCAAAACACTCAGGGAAAGGCAAGAGCTTTTATTCATGAAATTGGAAGAAATGAATCAGTTTCTGAATGTACTGACTGCTCTTACAGAGGAACATACTGTGTCAGGGCACACGGTTAAAGAAAACCATTTCTCTCCCCTGAACACGCACAAATGCAATTAATAATTTAGCAAATGTGGGACCAGGCTCACAGCACGGGATTAAACACTTACTGGAAGAGCTGTTGGAGACCCTTCTACCCCATGGAGTGGCACTGGGTCTCAAATAACAGGAGATAGCACTAGAGCTCTCAAGATCTTCAGACTTACTCTGATTTTCTTGGCATTTTCCTATGTCGGGACATTCAGCCTCTTCCCAGCCTTGCTGATTGAAAGCAAAGGCCAAAATAGAAAATATTAAGACATTACAAAGACTTGGGATTAGTTCTCCTCCATCCACCAAGGTGTTGGGTGTTTCTGGCCACCAACCAAACCTGCTGAGCTCAATGGTGGTCTCTTCCCAGGATCGATCACTGGAACAACGAGAAGGAGCGTCTGGTTCTCATCACAGACTGGTCCCTCCTGGTCTGCAAGTACAACTTCATCAGCCTGCAGTGCCAGCACGTCACCAGGATCTCCCTCAGCGCCGTGGACACCATCTCCATAGGGGAGTTTGAGTTCCCACCTAAATCCCTCAACAAGTAAGTCGACAGGGTAATACTGTGATGCTCTCCTGACTCTTGTATTGGTGTCAGAAATAGCTGGAGCTGGCACCCTTTGTCACTGAGCCAAGTGTGAGGGTTCTTCCTTTTGCCCCTGTGACTTTGTGAACAATTAGGAGAAGCCTCATCAGACCAGCCCAGAGCAGCTGCTGTTCTGCTGGAACAATTAGCAGTTACCTTAAAAGCCAGTTGCTGAAGGATTTAGAATCATAGAATCATTGAGGTTGGAAGAGACCCTTGGGATCATCGAGTCCAACCATCTACCCTACTCTACAAAGTCCTCCCCTACACCATATCCCTCAGTAATTTTTGCAGGTAAGATGAGTAGATCTGGGAGCAGAAGCCCATCACCAGTGGGTAGTGCAGCAGCTAGAAAGGTTGTAAAGCCCCATGAAAACATCAGGTGATACATAAACACAGGCTGTCACAGGGAACACAGTTCAGGGGTTGTGTCCCTGATGTCTAATGAGCTTAATCTTTTTATTCTCAGCTTAAAAGAACGTCCCTTTGCATATTCCAGGGGCTGAATTCTTCTACTACCACTTACTATCAAACATTTCAGCTCCCCGTTGTAAGCAGGTCGTTTCAGACTGTACATTTCTAACTGAACTCACCTGGAGGCCTCGGAAGCCTCCCCCCTCCTAACTCTGCTGTCCCCCACACCAGGAGAGAAGGCACCGGCATTCGGATCCAGTGGGACAAGCAGAGCCGGGCCTCCTTCATCAACAGATGGAACCCCTGGTCCACCAACATCCCCTACGTCACCTTCACCGAGCACCCCATGGCAGACGCCAACGAGAAGAACGCGTCCCTCTGCCTGGTAAGGATGTCACCAACTCCTGCTCGTGACACCTCCTTCATCCCACCAGCTGGGGACCTCTGAGGTTATTTGGAGAAGACAGAGCAGTTAAATCAGAGCCAGAACTCCCAGCTGGGTGCTGCATTTCCCCCTTCCCCAAACCCCGACGTGTGGGGCAGCACGGCTCCGTTTCTGCCACCTACCCCTAAATGGTTTGGAGAAGGAAGCTGACACTTCCACAGGTGGAGAGTCCTGTAAAACCCAAAAGAAAATGGAAATTGGTGCTATTCCCACTCTTACCCGACAGGCCGATGCCTGACCTTTCATCTAGGACTGCCAGCTAATTAAACAAATAGTTTAATTGTGAATTGTAAACCTTCCCTTGGGCGGCTCTCAAGTTTTTCTTCTTCTTCGCCTCTTCCTTTTCTTCCTCCTTCTTCCTCTGAAGGTTTCCTTAAAAACAGAACACTCTGGTAATTTAAGTTCAAGATATTGGTGATAAGGGCAGGAGATAGTCAGAAATGAACAATATTAATCACTGGTAAGTCTGGACTCATCAAGCCCGTGTGTTTAACTTACATAGAAATAGTGTCCTGGGATGAAATGATCTGTACCATTGAGGTCAAACATCAGAATGGAAAGCTTCCCATGGCACGTGAGATCCACAGACAGCTCCACCATTAATCCTGACAATTTTTAAAACAATGGGAAAACATCAAGCTGATATTTTTTTTTTTTTTTTTCTTTCAGTTGGAAAACTTTAAAACTCAGCTGGTCCAGGCTGTGAAGAAAGCCCACAAGGAGTGTCCGGTGGCAGGACGGGCCAACGGTGTGCTGGTGCTGGAGCGGCCTCTTCTCATCGAGACCTACCTGGGACTCATGTCCTTCATCAACAACGAGGCCAAGCTTGGCTACTCCATGACCAGAGGCAAAATTGGGTTCTAAAGTTTGTCGTTGTTTAATCTTTTCAAGAGAAAGCGGTTTGATGCTGGTCTCCTGGGGGGTGACAGGGAATGGGGCAGAATCCTGGATACCCAAGGGTGAGGAGAAGGCCAAGGGGTGGCTCTAGATCTGACAGTTGATGGGATGCCTTGGTTGTTCTGCTCAGGTCAGGTCAATCCGAAGCAGACACCAGGTTCTTGCATTCTGTATCTAATTTTCAGTTCTTCCAGGGCTAGGGAGCAGTGGTATTTGCCATTTCTAACTTGTTCTTCCCCGTTAACGAAGCGTGACCGGTATCTGCTACCAACACTCTGCAGCAGCACGTCCGTGCCACGTTAGTTGTGTCCCTGTGTATGGTGTCAAATCACATGCTGTGCTTGGGACTGATCCGTGGTGCTGCTGTTCACAATGACAGTACCCTCAGCATTTTGATTAATGCCTGTTAAGAATTGTGAAAGCCACATCTGTCGTTCTTTAGCAGAAGAGGCAGCAGGTTTCATTAATTAACGCTGTTCTGTGGGGTCTGCAGGGAAACCCTGAACCCAAACTAGTGCTTTGTAAACTGAAGTCTATGGCTGAGTATGCGTTTTATGAGCTTTTTGTAAAAATACCTCCCTCTGAGAACTAACTTCCTAGTTTCTGATGTGTGTTTCTGTGCTGCAGCCAGAGAATAAAGGCTCTTTTGAGAGGATATTGCCTAAAGCCTCACAAACACGTTTGCCTTCAAAGCTATTATTTATAAAACTGAAAAGCAGCTCTATTTTGATCAGATTTATATTGCTAGCAGTTTTTCTTAAATCTGCTCTAATTAGGGGCAGCAGCAGCCCAGGACTTTTTACTGGAGACAGATAAGACTTTAAGCAGTGTACGTCACCCCTGATTTATACTTTCTTGTTCTTAACCTCGTTCCAATGTCCAGAAATGAAATTCAGAGCAGCACAAGAGAGGCTACAGCTGGGATTGCTCCTGAGGCCACGCTGACAAGCTGTTCCATTGTGTGTGACCTTCTCTAGAGATCATTTTATCAGAGCATTTATTTGCACAACTAAAATGCTGCGTAACCCCTGTGCTGCAGCAGTGGGTTTGGAGCTTTAGCAGTTCACAAAACCCATGCAAGGCTGAAATCGTGATGGAATGCACGAGCTGCTCCTCCCTCCCAATGCATTTCCTAAGAGAGCTATTGAATTCTCAATAATCTCACAGTAAAGTTAAATTTCAACTCAATTTTTTTCTTTGTTCAGACCATGGCTGGGAAATCAAGCGGCAAAAAACCCCCATCCAATAAATTCCTAAAGACTGGGGTCCCTTCCTCTAAAGAAAGCAGAGTCTGCTCCCCAGGTTGTGCCAGGATAAATAGCTCCATAATCACACCTGATAATACAGAAACAGACTTCAGAGCAGAGATGTGCAGGTTTAGAGTCATACCAAGTTTGTAACTATCAAAATATTTATTGGAAATTATAAAATTTAAATAATAGCTATACATTATTTACACGCAGCTACAGTTTTAGAAAAGAAGGTTTCATAGTTGACAGAGTTCAAGAGGAAGCTGAACTACATCAATACTAAAGTTTCCTTGAAATCCAGGCTTCATTCTCTACACTTTAGTTGCCTCTAAACAGTCACTTCAATCAAACGCAACCACAGAACTTTACACACTGGAGTTTGGGGACACTCCTTCAAATAAATAACTCATAAATATAAAAGCTTCAGATCAGGTAACAGGGTTTGACCCCTTCCCTTATTTTTCTTCAGACTCGTGAGCATGTCTTATGCGGATTATTATTTTACCTCTTCTTTTTCTAAGTAACACACACAAAAGTTGTCCTTACTCAGCAGCACCAGGGAGTCTCCGCTGGAACTCCAGGAGAGAGACACGATTGGGAAGTCTCCTGTGGAAACAGAGCAGAGTCTGTCAGGGAGAAGCAGAGGTTCACCTAGGGTTTATCTTTCCACATCACATTTACCACGCACATTTTCCCCTCACTGGTGTTTTCTGTTGTAGTTCAGTCGTTTTCAGAATACCCAAAAACATTCCAGATGTTTCAGAGACTATTTCAACACTTGGCATCCTGCACAACTACAGTTTCTATGTAAATAAACTGATATGACTATAAATCTCAAGAAAGAATTCAACATACTGGACGATCAAAGCAAATTAAATCATTGTTAGCCCTTGTGCTCCGTCCTTGATAATATTTTATCATGTCTGCTATGTCTCATTACGAGCTTAAGTATTTAAATACCTGTAATTAAAAAGCTCTGAGAACGCATTGGAGCCGTTTCCATAATGCTCAGGCTGGTCCAGAGAGGTGATTCTACTACTTTACTCTGCTCTGGTGAGACCTCACCTGGAGTATTGTGTGCAGGTCTGGAGCCCTCAATATAAGAAGGACATGGACCTGATGGAGAGGGTCCAGAGGAGGGCCACAAGGATGATCAGGGGGATGGAGCACCTCTGCTACGAGGACAGGCTGAGGGAGCTGGGGTTGTTCAGCCTGGAGAAGAGGAGGCTCTGGGGAGACCTAATAGCAGCCTTCCAGTGCCTGAGGGGGGCTACAGGAAGGCTGGGGAGAACATGTTTAGAAAGGCCTGCAGTGACAGGACGAGGGGCAATGGCTTCAAGCTGGAGGGGAACAGATTTAGACTGGAGATGAGGAGAGGGTTCTTCACTGTGAGGGTGGTGGAGCACTGGAACAGGTTGCCCAGGGAGGTGGTTGAGGCCCCATCCCTGGAGATATTCAAGGAGAGGCTCGATGAGGCCCTGGGCAACCTGGTCTAGTTGGGGGTGTCCCTGCTGACTGCGGGGGGGTCGGACTAGATGGCCTTTGGAGGTCCCTTCCGGCCTGGGCAATTCTATGATGATTCTATGATTCTATGAATTATACATGGAAAAAGATTTTGTAATGCAGAAGCCACTGCAGCAGCCTCACCCTCCCCGGGGACCTGCACCGCCACGCAGCCGGTGGGGGACCACAGGTAGACTTTGCTGTTCCCGGTACACACGGCAAGTCGGGGCTGCCGGGGGTCCCACTGGAAGCACTGGATCCCACAGAGCTGCTCCAAGACCACAGACAGCTTCAGCTTCTGAACGTCCCAGATCCAGACAGCATTAGGAATGTTATCTGTGCAAAAAGATGGGAATCGTGTCAATACCCAAAGGGTAAAAAGATCACACGCGGTATTTTAAAGGAATGGGCAATTAATTGAAGTCTAACACCACAGACCATCGTGGTGCACCCTGGGTCTAACCCCACTAGTGTTGCCCAGCAGCACCTGCAATAAGGATAAAAGTGACAGTTTCTTTTCACAGAATCTTCTAGGTTGGAAGGGACCTTAAAGATCATCTTGTCCAACCATCAACCTAACTTTGACAAAAATAGACACCCACACAACAAACAAGGAGCATCATCACTAAACCATACCTCCCAGCACTACATCAACCCCTCTTTTGAACACCTCCAGGGATGGGGCCTCAACCACCTCCCTGGGCAGCCCATTCCAAGGGCTGAGAACCCTTTCAGTGAAAAATTTTTTCCTAATATCCAGCCTGAACCTCCCCTGGTGCAACTTGAGGCCATTTCCTCTCGTCCTGTCGCCTGTGACTTGGGAGAAGAGACCGACCCCCACCTCTCTACACCCTCCTTTCAGGGAGTTGGAGAGAGCAAGAAGGTCTCCCCTCAGCCTCCTCTTCTCCAGGCTTCTGAAGGGCTTCTTCCAGCCCTTCATCAAATTATTCACTTGCACGCTACGGCTGATGGCTTTTGCCTCTGAAGCCTCTTGCATCCAGACATCACCAGCCATAATCTTGAATTCATGTTCAAGATTAAACGTGAATCCCATGACTTTCACCATTTGAAGAAATCAAAAGCCCACTAATACAGGTCGTGAAAAATTAAGGATTCTGCCTTTCAAGAGACACTTGCTGTGATTGGAGCAGGAAGGATTTGTATATTTCACTTCCTAATACACGGAGCTCACATACATTGGAAAAAATATAAAAAGTGTATTGTTTTCATTAAATACAGAGCAAAACCCAAGTTAAGGCACCAATAAGTGGTTCTAGCAGCTCCCACTACTACCCATACACTAGAAGACACAGGCTGGATTTTCTCCACAGTGACACATTCGTACAAAGGAGAGCTAATTTCTAACAGGATCCTGACTCCCCCCATAGTGCAAAATAACCAGCTCCTGTCCTCGTTTCTGAGGAAAACACACAGGAGGAGTGCATGAAACACTGCAGAAGGAGCTGCTTTCCCCTGTAACACAGAGCAGGAGGGACTCACCGTTCTTGGTTGCCAGGAAACAGTTATCTGGACTGAACGCCAACATCCCAATGCCCATTTTGGGATTTGCCCTGTCAGCCACGGGTTTGACGTACTGCAAAGAAACTGGCACCTGGGCAATGTCATCTGGAATTTGAATGAAAGCACTTCAGTAAGCAAACCTGAATGGACAAAAGATTTAAATTCCAGCTGTTAAAACCCCCCTCATCCCTGAAGTAATACGACTGCATTTTACTCTTCTCCAATATGTTCCAATCAAAAACTTCAATTGTTTTAAGATACTGCATTCTCACACAAACAGCTTACTATTCTTGCCCTTCTACAAAAAAGGAAAGGCTGGAGATTAAATTATGAAAAAAAGGAAAGATCACGTTTTCCACTACCTTTTAACTAGTATTTAAAACACCAACGCAAACCCCAAGGTGATTTGCAGTCCCACAAACAACAAGACAGTAAAAAAATAATAGAAATGAATCATACATTGTCTGCCATCTCTTTAATATTTCACAGCCCGTTGGCTGGAGGTTTAAAGCACTGCTATAACTGCAGCTTCTCAAGACAAAACCAAATGGCCTTTTTCATGCTCTGCTTTTTTACTTGACCTCATACCTACAGGATTAATTACTTTCTTATAACAGACAGCAAGACTGTAACACCTTCTGATTATTTTTTTCCTTTTTAATTATTGGAACTGCCACACACTATGATAAGACTCTTAATTGCTAGAATCGGATGAACTACTGGAATTATCTGCAACGGTTAAACTAAGTCATGAAATAACATTGCATGGATTGAAGAAACCAGAAAAAGCATCCACAGAATGTTAAGACAACTTTTGCAGGCACCTCCAGGACTGAGACTCGGCTGCTGTTTCTACACCCAAGTCATTACGGGTCATTTTCTACAGTATCTTTAACCTGCCTCCCAGCCACCCCGCAGAGAAAATCCCCTCCAGGGGGGTGTTAATGCCCTTGGAGCTCTTCAGTTTGCTCAGGAGCCTTGAGCAGAGCACCCAGAGGGCCCATAGTGCATAGGCAGAGTGCACCTATAAGGTTATTGATGGAAAGACTTCACATGGCAAACTCAAGTGTCCCATTTTACTAAATTGTGGCTTACATTTACTTTGCGTGCTGAAGAGAGAACTAGCCAATGCTCTTGTTGGAGGGAAAGAAAGTCTCTCTGTTTCAACAGATGGGGATTTCTCCACTTCTTTATACACAATCTACAAAGAAACAAGGATCACAGGTACATATTCCATCCAACTTGAAAGGATTCCTCCATTTTTCTTACGTTCCCAATTTTTCATGCAATTTCCCAAGCCCTATGTACATATAGGAGGGGAAAAAGCAAGGTCTCCCAAATGAAAGGAATTTAGTGGCACCTTTTAGATACAAATAGCAGCATCAAAGCACTGATTCAAAGGGTTCTGGATCCATACTTACAGTCCTTTTATTAGAAACGGTTGCTGGATGCTCAAACTCTGTGATCTTCTTCCAAGTTACATGGTTCAAGATACGCACCTAGTGCAAGAAAGCATTAGCAAGACAGAACTCCTATGGCAAAGTTCTACAAATGCCTTGTAGATAGAAGAGAGAGGTTTATTTTCTCTCTTTTATCTAATAAAGATCTTTTTTCTATTTCTCACCTTTTCATCATAGCTGCCAATTGCCAAAAATTGACTGCTGGGACTCCAGGTGATGGATTTTATGCCTAGTGACCATTCGTAAGCCCGGTATGTGGATAGCAGCCTGCCATCGAGGGAGTACAGCAATATTTTATACTGAAACATAAATAGATTAATTCTAAAGACTAACCATATTGTATCGTTCCATATTTCATATGCCTTGATGGAAAAGCTCGTGCTCCTTCAGCACCTGAAGCCATCAAGCCACATGCTCAGGGCTGTTTGGTATTTGTCTTTAAATTTACATCATCACAAATGTTTGACATATGCTTGTAAGGACACCCATTACCAATAAAAGTAAAATATTTAGAATGGTTTGAGTTCAGAAAAATAATCTGCTGCTTCCTCCTACCTCCAGACACGTATCCCACACGGCCAGCACGCAGCCATTGGGAGCCCAGTCAATCCCAAACAGATCTTGTGTTTCTGTGTCAAAATGCTGCCCCAAAAGAGAAAAAAAAAAAAAAAAAAGACCATTTGAAGTATTTAACAAATGCTGTTGCATCTGACCTAACACAGGCCTCAGTTTTATTCTTTTAAGTGCTACCACAAACAAAGAGCCTTTGGCACACTGGTGCAGAAACAGAAATATTTTCTTTTGTAATAGTGTCCTGCATTCACTGTTCCTTTGGTTTCCCATTACAGAAAAAGCAAAAAAGTTGCTCTACCTTAAAATGAGCGGTATTTCATAAGAAAATAAAAGCAGTTACACTGAATGAGGCAAGAAATTTAGCTAGCCTGATTCCTTGCCTCAGAAAGGCTGGATCATTACAGGATGATGAGGGAAGAGCCTGGGAACACAACAAGTATTGAGTGGTATTTCCCAAATTTTGCTCAGCTTCTGCTGAGACTCAGAATTCCTGAACCAGGGGTGACACTATCTATGGATCAGTTCTTAGCAGGTTTTAATTTCTCACATGTATCTACTCCTCTAAGATGTGCTAGCGTGCATCCTTTCCAGGCTGGTCTCATTGGACAATAGGACAACTTATATTATACATTCAAAGCGATAACTTTATTATTGATGCAGCATAGATTATTGTAAATACAAAGATGATTCAAGGATTGGAGCATCTCCCTTATGAGGAGAGACTGAGAGAGCTGGGACTCTTTAGTCTGGAGAAGAGAAGGCTGAGGGGAGACCTTATCAATGCCTACAAGTATCTCAAGGGAGGGTTGAAGGAGGAGGGAGCCAGACTCTTTTCAGTGGTTCCCAGTGAGAGGACGAGGGGCAACGGGCACAAGTTGGAACATAAGAGGTTCCACTCAAATATGAGGAGAAACTTCTTCACGGTGAGGGTGGCAGAGCCCTGGAACAGGCTGCCCAGGGAGGGTGTGGAGTCCCCTTCTCTGGAGATTTTCAAGACCCGCCTGGATGCTCCTGAGTAACATGCTCTGACAAGCTCTAGGCAATCCTGCTTCAGCAGGGGAGTTGGACTAGATGATCTCTATGGTCCCTTCCAACTCTAAAATTCAGTGAAATAAATCCATGCACAAAATTAAAGGTGGACTGTTGCATTCTGTCAGAAACTCTTCATGCACATCTAGTACATATTGGCCTCCTGAAGAGGACACCCCTAGGGAAGTGCACCCAGAGGCCAGTGAAGGAGCCAGTGCTGGAGAGGAAAAATACTGGCCAGTCTAGAACCAGTGAGGGAGCCCAGAGCAGCTGGAAGATGAGCTTTCATCTGCCCAGAGTGGTGGGAGGCAAGGACACATCTTACCCTCAAGAGCTGCCAGTCACTGCACACGAAGATGCTGACAAAGTCCTTGCAGTCCCGTCTTTCTGCCACGGCCATGTAGCGGCCATCCCTAGTGAAGGCTATCCCTGCTGACAAAAGGAGGGCAATTAAAAAAGAGAGAAAACAAGACAGAATAGCTGACCATTCTTCAATGAAAAGCAGTTATTCCCAATTCAAAGGAGAAGGAAAAAGAGAAGGAAAAATATCTTCACAGCAGATCACACTAATCAAAGCGATGCATGGTTTTACTAATTTGCTTGTGTTGGCAATTCTTAAACTCCAAATATAAGGATGCAGCTCCCTGGCTATTGCAGAACTTCAGCATGCTATGGAAAGCCAGGTTTGATTACTGACAGACAGTCGTTACATACAACCCCCAGATTTCAAACCACCAGTTCGTTCAGTCTGGCTAAAGGGAGCAGTTATGCAGGCACTGCAACTCCCCAAATTCTGGCACGGGTCCCCAGCCACTCTCATTTCACAGGCAATACATAACTGTCTTTCTCCTGTATGGGCTATTAACTATACACAAGCCCCAGGCTGGAAACTGCTAACCACAGCTGAGTGGCTGGACAGCCCTGCCACGGGCTTCCCTCTCATTTTTTTGTGTGTAAAAGATGACAGAAGCCACTTTGAATTAGTGTTTTTCATCACCAATGCATCCAGCTCAACTGAATGTCTCAAAGGAGCCTTGGGAGGCAAACACAACAGAACGATGCACATCTGAAGAGCAGGCACATGGATCAGAGGAAATCCTTCATTCGTGGAGAATGTGACTACTCAGGGGTCACCCGGGACACGTATCCCCACGGGGAGTGAACCCCTCAGCAGGGAGGGTGCAGAGCCTGCTCTGAAACACGTGTTTTATCATTACACACCAAATTCAGTCTTCCCTTTCTGTCATATTAAAAAAAACAAACCTTCCTGCGTTAGATTTGTGATGCTCACCCTGCTGACAAGCTTTGGGATACTTGATGTAAGACACAGACTTCGTACACAAGGACCACACAGTTATCCGCAGCTGGCAAAGAGAAAGAGACAAGGAAATTGTTTATTTTTTATAGACAAAAAAAAAATTAAGTAAATAGAAACCCATAAACTTAATTCAACACCACAGAGTAGATCAATACACCTTCTGTGGCTAATTAAACTCTGCAGCTATTCCATGTAGCTCAAACACAAAGCCCTGAGAAGTAACTGTGAGGAATTCTCTCCCAACTGCCTTCAGTTCACAAGGCTGCATATTCCAAATGAACACCACAAGCACAGAAACATGGGGAAAAGCTCTTCATCACCATTAAAGTAACTGATATTGGCATGAGTCTAGTGACATAACCGCCGATGGATCGTACACAGTTGGAAAAAAACACAGTTTCATCACAGAATCTGGAAGAGAGATTAAAAGTTTCCTGCATTTAGGAATGGATGAGAGGTTACAGCAGCCTGAGACCATGGTATCTCTTGGGACAAGGTTAAGCATGAAAATTTAGCTCTCTTTTTCAACTTTTAGACACGCTCAGCTTTGATAAGTTCATTTGCATCTTGCTTTTCCCTCCTCAGCCACCCAGGAGAAGGCAACATGACACGATCACTGAAAGAATGAGAAAAGAGCCAAAATCCGCTATGCAAAGCGAGGCATTAAGCATCCCATTTGCGGTATTTCTGGAGGCTCGTGCATCCATAAAACATGAAAACTGTGGGGAAAGGCCGTCAGCTGCAAAACAAGCCTCTCCACAGCTCTCCAAGGTCACAGCCCGCATTCTGGAAGCTCTGCGTTGCCATCTGCAGATTATTCAATTAAAAACAAATACTTACTCTCCCTTAGCAACGGCAGCCACCCCAGACATATGGGCATTAATCAGAATGTCATGTGAACCTTTGCATTTATAGCTGGAGCGAGGAATGTTTCCAGAGTAAAATTTTTATTTTTTTTTCCTGGTGTTTTCCTACATTTTATTGCACCAAGAGATTTCTAGAAGAGACGCAGGTAAAACTATTTTCGCAATAAAGCAGCACAGTCATAAAGCTACCTTTCCCAGGAGCTACTGCACAAAATTAGTTCCAATTCATTATATATGTAAAACTTCAGCTCTGAATACCATCTCCTCATCCTCCTGCGCCGGGTGCAGACCGAACCCCAGGCTTGGGAGGAAGTTTCTGCTCTGCTTTTTTTGCATGTTTGTTCTCAATGCACATTTTTCTTCCCTGGTACCATTCAATGGTGAGACAGGACCCCAAGGCAGCAGCATCCCAAATGTGTCTTCCACCTGGCAACACTATGGACTGGACGCTGCAACAGAACTTGGAAGGTTTTTTCATTGCTCACGTCATTTTTTTGCCAGAAAACACGATTCAAGGAATTGTCATGGTGTCCAAACCAAGTCACAGAACCCTAATAAACACTGCCTCCCTCCAGAGATACAGGGAGTCCCAGAGCCAAAGGGCAGCATTGCTTCTTCCTCCTACTGCTTTTTATATACAGAAGAAAATTTTTTGAAATTTGAAGAGCCAACACAAATCAATTATTATTTTTTTTTTAAATTTATTATAGGAAATAGCACAACCAGATCAGATCCCACTCTGCTTCTCTCCAAAGTTAGAAAAAGTAACGGATCCCTATTCAATGCAGTCTTTATTATGCTCTCCCTTTATTTCACAGGTATTAAATTACAGCCAGACATCTATAGTACCACCTTGAAGTTTAGCAGCTCCTGGAGGACTCCACGAGATGAGTAACATTAATCAACTTTTATCACTGCAACTGCTCACTTCCGGCCACACCAGAACACAGCATTGTTAGCCTGCTCCTCGGGCAAGATTTACTTTAAAAATACCAACACAATGCCTACTCACATTCCTCTCCAGCAACTGCACCAGTGATATGCTGCTGCCTCCTATTAATTGCAGCGTTAAATGAACTTGCTGCTATCCCTCCCTTGCCCCAAAACACACAGCATGCATTCTACAGCCACTTAATACCAGCTTAGCCGCTGCACGCCTCGCATGCTGAGGTCTGGAGCAGAATTTTTCCTGCCAAAGGCATCCAAGTTTACATTTTTGTTGCTCCTTGGCCTCACCATCCACTCACCTGGCCTGACGCACCAAACTGCTGCTCTGCTGGACCACAGGGGCTGGCTCAGAGCCCTGGAACAAGGCTCACATCGAGCTCAAGTCCATCCAAAAAGGGAAATCTCAGTGGTGAGACACAGCACATCAGGGGCAGAGCTCCTACTGCCACCTCTGGCTCCTCCACAGAAGAGAAAATGCATCTACACCTTGGTTTTGAGTAAGTCTTTCTGCATCCATCTCTGCTACACCTTGGTTTTTGAATAAGTCTTTCTGCATCCACCTCTGCTTCAGCCTTGGGTGCAGCCCTCTCTGTGCTGTTCAGACAGAATTTTCTCAAAAGGGTGCAGTTCTGTAACTCCCCACAGAAGACACTAATCCTGTTTTCCCTGTTCATTCTCGTCATCTTGTTCTTAACAGCTGAGTGTGTGCTGCATGGCCACGGGAAGTTTCAGTGACACTGAATGCTGACATTTTTGGGGTAGTGCTGTATTGCCCCATGGACCTCCCCACACATCATTTCTAGCACAACAGAAATGGCAATATCACCATTGTGGCTGGGGAGGGACTAAGGAACACAACCAGCACACCCCCAGGGGAGGGTGTTTACCCTGTTTATAAAAAACCCCACAAAAATACACCTTTGGAAGATATATTATTGTACTGGCTGCCTCCAACTCTTTCATAATCAAAGCACTTCAGCTTCAGATTTGACCTAAAGCAGTCACAATGGACCCATAACAAATATTAAGTTCCTCTAGACACTCTCTCCGAGGGGGCTGTGCACAGTGAGGGGAGTCCCCCACAACAAATCCAACATCCCAGATCTGCTCTGCCCTGATTCACTGCAACCTCTTGTCCAGGTCACCCAACACAAAACCTCGAGTTCTGGCCCAGTGAAAGATGTAAAAGCAAACCATTTTGAGTCCCCAAATTAGGATTCTTTTCTGTCGTTCTACTTGTGTACACTCAGTGTAACTTTCTCAGTTCATAAAAATGTTTATGTGCTTAACATAGGGACCTCTGACCTATCTTCCATGGATTAACCCTGTTTTCTAGTACAGCAGAAATGGCAATATCACCATTGTGGCTGGGACAACAGAAATGGCAATATCACCATTGTGGCTGGGGAGGGACTAAGGAACACAACCAGCACACCCCCAGGGGAGGGTGTTTACCCTGTTTATAAAAAACCCCACAAAAATACACCTTTGGAAGATATATTATTGTACTGGCTGCCTCCAACTCTTTCATAATCAAAGCACTTCAGCTTCAGATTTGACCTAAAGCAGTCACAATGGACCCATAACAAATATTAAGTTCCTCTGCCCCCCTCCAGGCACTCTCTCCAAGGGGGCTGTGCACAGTGAGGGGAGACCCCCCCAAAAAATCCAACATCCCAGATCTGCTCTGCCCTGATTCACTGCAACCTCTTGTCCAGGTCACCCAACACAAAACCTCGAGTTCTGGCCCAGTGAAAGATGTAAAAGCAAACCATTTTGAGTCCCCAAATTAGGATTCTTTTCAGTTGTTCTATTTGTGTACACTCAGTGTAACTTTCTCAGTTCATAAAAATGTTTATGTGCTTAACATACAGACCTCTGACCTATCTTCCATGGATTAACAATATGTTTAGAATTAAATTGTGACAAAAAGGGGGGAACCTTCTCACTCCCAACTGAAACACTGCTCCACAATCTGGCCCAAGCTGCCAGTGTAAACCAGAGAAGGATTTCACAGCTCGCAGAGATGACAGACAGAAACATAAGATGCACACAGGGTGAGAAAAAGAAAACCAAACACTTCCAAAATTACAACAAATTGCCTTGCTCTTATTTGCTTTTCCCAGAGACTTTGTGGGGAAGGGACCATGGGTTTTCCAGCAGGAGGACAGATTGTGGTGAATTAGGTTTGCCCCGAGCACTTCTTCACTGCTCTTTTCCAGGGGAACTTACTCTTTGGAGCAGATGACTCGATTAAGTGGAGTTGTCAAACTCAAATCCCAACGATAATGGTGTCT